GATGGTAAACGAAAGCGTGGATGAAATTCAAATTGTTTTGTTCCAATAGAGAAATTATGAAGACGAAGAAGCGCTAAATCGATGCGGTTGTCGAAAAAAATCATCCTGCAAATCATCGAAACAACGTCGGCTCGACCGGCTCGTTGGGAACGGTATATGTATCTACGTACGTGCAGGCACGTATACATATGTAGGTACCTAATTGTGTACATACGTATACCGGTCGATGATAGTTTTGCGAATTACAGTAATGTCTCTCTAATTGACGCTCAGACTGTGCACAAAAATGGACAATTTTGGAAGAGGAGATACGATTGTTCGAGCCTTGTTGCTCGTTTCGTTTTGGTTATCGATTGCCAACAACTATAAAAACGAGTTGCAAGGTTCGAATAATCCCATCTCCTCTTCCCAAATTGTCCATTTCTGTACACAACCTGAGCGTCAGTAAGGGAGACATTACTGTACAGTAATGTCTCCCTTACTGACGCTCAGGTTGTGCTGTCTCTTATACACATCTAGATGTGTATAAGAGACAGCACAACCTGAGCGTCAGTAAGGGAGACATTACTGTACAGTAATTCGTTTCTCGTTTTTACAATTGTGGACAATTTATAATTATAAAAATAAACCGCGAGGCCTCGAATAATCGTATCTCCTCTTCCCAAATTGTCCATTTTTATGGTCAATCTGGGCGTCAATTAGAGAGACATTACTGTACTCCCTTCCTGTCATTTTAGTGGAGAATCTGAGCGTCAGTAAGGGAGACATCACTGTATAGTAATGTCTCTCTAATTGACGCTCAGATTGTTCACAGAAATAGACAATTTGGAAAGAGGAGCCTTGCGAATTCGAGCCTTGCGACTCGTTTTTATAGTCACCGATTTTCAACAATTATACAAACGAGCCGCAAGGCCTCGAATAATCGTATCTCCTCTTCCCAAATTGTCCATTTTTGTGCGCAATCTGAGCGTCAATTAGGGAGACATTGCTGTGCATATAGGATTTTCACGCGAGTTATTCGACCCGTTGTTATCGGCGACCATACTTTGTCTATATGTATGTGCCTTNAATCTGGGCGTCAATTAGAGAGACATTACTGTACTCCCTTCCTGTCATTTTAGTGGAGAATCTGAGCGTCAGTAAGGGAGACATCACTGTATAGTAATGTCTCTCTAATTGACGCTCAGATTGTTCACAGAAATAGACAATTTGGAAAGAGGAGCCTTGCGAATTCGAGCCTTGCGACTCGTTTTTATAGTCACCGATTTTCAACAATTATACAAACGAGCCGCAAGGCCTCGAATAATCGTATCTCCTCTTCCCAAATTGTCCATTTTTGTGCGCAATCTGAGCGTCAATTAGGGAGACATTGCTGTGCATATAGGATTTTCACGCGAGTTATTCGACCCGTTGTTATCGGCGACCATACTTTGTCTATATGTATGTGCCTTGTCGAACGAAACTGTTGTCACGAAGCTAACGGGATCATTGACAAGCGGTTCACGTGGTTCGTCGACGCGTCTGGAAAATTGGGCGTTAACGTAATTAGGTAGGTAAAGCTCGCGGCTGAAATCGAACCGTTTGTTGTCCTATTCAACGCGTCGCACACACCGCCGACAATGAAAACCCATAGAAAAACTGTGCTCGCGGTACACGATCCTCGACGAATCTGTCACCTGCATGTACGCTATACGCGCCTACATGCACGTACTATGGAATACATGCACGCACACGTGTATTCGTATTACGTACACTTCGCTAACCTGCGATGGCTCGTAAACGTTTGTCGGATATAATGCGCCCGATTGACAAAACGGAGGTTCCAACACACGCTGCATTCTGTATGTATACTATGTTACAGGCTTACGTGTATGCGTGTATGTATATGATTATAGGATAAAAGCATTAATTACTGCTTTTGACTTTGTACAAAGGGCATGCTTTAAACGTCATTTTAATACGTGACATTTGATTTCGCGAACGTTACCCCGATTTTGTCACGTTTAAATCGCACCTCTAAACGTTTGTTGCCGCGTTAAATTTGTTCCGCGTGTGCGTGTGCCAAGTATCTATGTGTTATATGCATGCGTACAACGAATAATGCATATGATACATTCGTAACGTATTTTCCAGCAGTTCGAAAACCGTGCGTTTCAATGTTTCGGCTGTCGAATGTCGCCCGAATTTAACTTCACGATCATTGTAATCAACTTTTCAACAGATCCGTATCTGTAGTAGCTCGTTTGTTTCAATTTCTAAAGGATCGATCAGATTTCAATGGCATTCGCGTTCGAGATTCCATCCTATGTACATACATAGCGTGCATAGTATACATACGTGTATATGTATACATACAGGCACGTAGTAGAGATATGTAATCGACCCTTTTTCTGGTAAATGTTCTTCCAAATCGACTTATCCAAATATTTATTGCTCGAGAAAAATAAAAGTATATACAGGCAGCGTAGTAGATATGTAAACGACCCTTTTTCTGGTAAATATTCTTCCAAATCGACTTATCCAAATATTTATTGCTCGAGAAAAATAAAAGTATATACAGGCAGCGTAGTAGATATGTAAACGACCCTTTTTCTGGTAAATATTCTTCCAAATCGACTTATCCAAATATTTATTGCTCGAGAAAAATAAAAGTATATACAGGCACGTAGTAGATATGTATAATAATATATTTATACATATCTACTAAATATAAGAATATATATATAAATATATAAATATATATATAAAATATTTATTGCTCGAGAAAAATAGAAGTTCACGGTCGACGTATGATTTTACTTGAACGAAGTCGAAGTTCCTTCGGCAAAGATAAGGATGCTTCGCCAATTTCGAAATTCGATATATCCGTGAACGATGGCCGAACGAAATTATACCTACAAACGATTAGCGCAACTTTTGCCATTCACGCCTTTTTTTGTGATAAGTCTTTGTACAATAACCCTCTGTAGATAAAGTAGGTAGTCGATGATTGGTACAAGTGGAATAAATCATCAGCAAAATAGCTCTCGGTAACTATTAAATCGTTCGCGTGAGATTTCTATATAAATGATCATATGCTTCTTATGCTCATATACTTCTAAACGATCAGAGTCGATTTACGTGTGCAAAGTAAACATTGAACAATTTGTTTATAGCTTACCAAAAAATAAGAAATTCTGACGCGTTGCTATCAATCAAAAATATTAGGTGGACCGGAAAGTTATGTCGTTTGTTTACATTAAATTCAAACAGATAAATATGCGCAGAAACGACATTACTTTCCGGCCCCCCTAATAGTTGTAGGTTTCACGGAAAATATGGGTTATTTTCTAGCATTTAAAATTCTATTCTATGGTATAGCATGCTAAAGTTGCTTTAGGGCGTAACAGGTAGAAAAGGTAAGATTGCCTCGACGATAGCCGAAGCAAAAGACCCGATTGGTTGAACCGGACCACAAACGCCACTCGATAATTTTAAGCCAGCGCACAGGTACACTGGGTTAGTTACGTTTCGCAAACAAACTAACCCAACGTCGGCTAATCCCTTGAGACCGTTAACTACGCATTAAATACAAATGACTCCCTTTACGATTCCCCCATTTACATCAGAACGGCTAACGAAATATGTTTACATTCGAATCGATCTATGTACAGCAACTTCAACGTGTGCGATATACATATTACAATATGCGGCGTTTGCGTTTCTTTAAATAAAATAACCATAGAGTGTCTGATGATACCGTTCTACATATGTATACTAGAGTACCTACATACTTCGTATTGTCCACTGTTTAACGAAGAAAGATGATCGATACACGGTTCGTCATCGGATCGGGATTACGTTAAAATTACCAGGGTCTTGTCAAGGTTATGATAATCGATCCGCGATGGATACGAATCGAACGATCGAGCAACGTTCGGACGTTTCTCGGAAGGTCGTATGGAAAAAAAGAAGAAGCTGGTACTGGTTAAATGCGACGGCTGAAATTCAACAAGTGCCTCTAAAACTTGAACAAGAAAGGATAAACGAGTGAGCGAGTAACATCCAATCTCTATTACGTGCGTGACGCGACTGCCGCGGCTGCCGCGACCGATCGTGCCATTCGTGTCGTCAGGCGGAGTGGGGACGGAACGGTCTGGGTTAGATGGCGGATGGTGGGGGATAGACGGTCGGTTAGGATCGGGCGGGTTCGCGGGCACTCGGACAGTCTCGGCTTCTGGTTTCTCCCGCGGCCGCATAAGCGGTGTCAGCGTGTGCGCAGACCGGCTGCGCAGCAGGCGTGTGCGTTGTCCAGATTCTTTGTGCCATTCCTGGCATACCAAAAACAAGAGTGGTGACTGCGCTCGTATTTACCGGGGTGCAACGTTGCGCGCTAATATTACTGTGCGAATTTTACTCGGTGTGCAAAAGGCTCCGCGCGCGCGCGTCGCCACGTCAGCTCGCCCAGTGGTAAGTACATTAAAGAATATAGTGTCGAAACGTCCTCGAAAGACCGCGTCTACTCGTCCACGCCCGTGTGTCCTAGCGGCGTCGTCCCACACAGGGGCCGCGCACCGAACGGATTCGACAGCAGCGACGACGGCGAATATACACACACCGTCGGACACCGACAGACCGACAGACGTACAGACGGACGAAAAGGAGCGAGAGACAGAGGGCGATAGACGCCTCGCGAAAGAAAGAGACCGACCGACGAACCGGCAGTGCGATAAAGACAAATATTACGTGGAAAAGAGAACGTAAGCGCGGACCAAGTGCGTGGATAATCGTGTACACGAGCGACGTTATTCTGTCGATTGTGATCCCGAGTTAGTAAACGATACTACCGATTTCTCGGTGATTTCCTCGTGTGTCCCGCGGTTGTCAGGTTTGTATTTCCGGTGACCGTGATGTTCGTATTGCTAGCTCCGTGTTGCTGCCAGTGGTGATATTGCTCTTACATTGCTTTCGAAGAAAGAGAGAGATAGATAGAGAGGGAGGGGGGCGGAGGGAGGGAGAGAGAACGCGCGTAAGACGGAGATAGAGGGAATCTGGCTGCGAGCGTGTATGTGCGTGCATATGTGTGTCCGTGCACGGACGAGCGAGCGAGCGAGAGAGGTTGTGTTTCGCGGACGTAGGGGGGGAGGGAACGAGAGTGATAGAAAGAGAGAAAGAGCGAGAGAGAGAAAGAGAGAGATGACACGATGGTAGAATCAGTTTGATAAACGAAGAGTACGAGTCGTGCCGTGCCGGTCTATCGCATCTAACTCTGTAGTTCGGTGGTGCATCAGCGCATCCATGCATCGGTCTTTGTCCGACTGTCGCGTGTTTACGAGCGTTGTGTCAGCTGTGTGTCAAGAGAACGCAAGTACCGTGTATGTGGTAGCAAAGTGTCTGCATTCTCTCTGACAACTCGGTTCGTCTCGGCTCGGCTCGGCTCGGCTCAGCTCTCAGCTCAACTCGGCTCGGCTCGGCTCGGCTCAGCTCAGCTCGGCATACAACACACTAGACACGGACACGAGACCCGTGTCGCGGAGGTTAGGACCAAGTGTGATTCGCGTTTGCCGGAGGTGGTGGTGGTGGTAGTGGTGGTGACGGTGATGGTGGTGGTGGTGGGCTGCGTGCGTTTCCCTGAGAAGAGCGCGCCACGACAGAAACGCGTGCTTCTGCTTTAGTGTGTTTGCGTTCTGCACGGTCCGCTCGCTCTCCTGCTTCTGGTGAATTCGTATAGTGAATTATTGATCCACCGCAGCGTATGTGTGGGGAAAAACCGGCCGAGTAATAGAGAAATTCGCCGAGAATAGGAAAAACGTCGGTCGGACCCGTCACGTCGGAAGAAACGTTGAAAGATATATATACATATATATATGGTACCGGTCTTGTTTTGAAAACTGTGCGCGGGCGCGCGCGCGCGCGTTCACGCACTCTGCCGCACATATATAATGCAATTTACACTCGAGCTCTGAAGGTGGAGCAGCAGCACCGGCAGCGACAACGCCGACGACAACGCAGATTTATTTTTTCCCTCGAGGCGGGAACGATCCAAGTGTATTCGCACAAATTTCATTAGTTGCAGCAGCGTAACGCGTGTCCACGTACGCGTCTCTCTTTCCCTTCCCCGTCATTCTCGAATGTTCTCCATCTCCTTTCGTTCTTCTTCTTTCCCGGTCCCTCTCTCCCGCTCTCTCTTCCTTTCTGCTTCCCCTCCTCCTTCTCCTCCGCCTCCTCCTCCTCCTGCTCGCTCTTACTCGGTTCCCCGCTCTTTCTCCATTCGCGCGTGTTACATGTGTGTGTGTTCTCTCCGTCTCACTCTGACTGCGTTGCCGTATATCGCGTGTGCGTCAACGGAACGAAACGAAACGAAACGCGGGAAAAGCTCTCGGCGCGAAATACACGTTTCGCGGCGAGTAATGTAGACGGTGTTTTTTTAACGTGACACGCAGTGTGCGTTCTCGGTCCGCGTACGGCCAGTGAATGCGAAGTGTAGAGATACGTGAAACACGGATTATCGAGAAGGTTGCCGACAGAAACCCGTCCGGGGAAAAAGCGTTGTCGTCGTCGTAAGACGACGACGGCGACGACGACGACGACGATCTCGCGGAAACTACACTCGTCGCGGTAAACTCTCGGCTCGCCCGGCCTTCGTCGTCGTACACCGTTTCGCGTCTCGATAATCCAGGACAAGAAAAGCCCTACCTTCGCCACCGCGACTTGGATGGATACTGTGCATTATTTCTGGAGTGAGTTTCTCTTTTAATCGTGTGCCTCTGTGCGCGGATGTATACGCGCTTGCATGTGCCTACCTGTGCGATTGTGAATGTACCTGTGCATTTGTGCGCGACGAGTGCCTTGTTGTACACAGATAGTTCTTTTTTTTTCTCTCCTTAGGTCCATTCGACGTACAACTTAACGGTCGCGTCGCGTCTCGCGTACCGTCGCGTCGCGTCGTGAACGCTCGCCCGTCGGAACACGGCGTTGTTCTTCTCGTAGACTTTTTTATGACTTTTCACGCGCACGTACGTAGCAGTTTCGTTTTCAAATCAATGACTTTTCTCGTTCTATACGACGTTCTGTTCGCCGTCCCTTCGATAAGGAGAATTTCTGCGTTTAAAAAGTAAATTTAGAAACGGTAGGAAGGACTGTCGTCGTTCAATTTTCATTGTTTACATCGCGGATCTCTCTCTCTCTCTCTCTCTCTCTCTCTCTCAGTCGGAAAAGCCAGTGAACAGAAAACAGAAATGCTGAAAAACCAGCCGAAAGTCACGGTTTCAGCAACGCGTACACGCCGTGCAGCGCGATTTGTTTACCGACCGACGAACGTTGTTTCGAGTTTCGTGCGATGTTTAGCGAGAGCACACGGTCGCGAACGATCAACGTCGCTGGAATATTCGAGTGGCGGCGACCAGCAGAATGGCGTTATCGCAGTAGGTTATCAAAAATAATTCCTAGGTGACATGGAAACACGCCATTACATAAATTTAATCAGATACTTGGTTTGCTATCGCGGCTGGGTGAGCCGTACGTTCAGGTATACACTCTTCGGAAAAGGTTTTCGCCGTCGATTATGCAGAGCACAGAGATTTCGGGTTGGCATTGTAATTGAGCCGTTTATTTTGAAAGTGGGCACACACATATATATATATATATATAATATATAGTAATAATAATATAAAAAAATAATATATAGTATAATATATAGTATAATATAATAGAGTCATTTATATTTATATATAGCGATTTTTATTATCATATATATATATATATATATATATATATATATATGACCCGTTTATTTTGAAAGTGGTATATATATAATAATATAATAGTCATTTATATTTATATAGCGATATATATTTTTATCATCATATATATATATGACCCATTTATTTTGAAAAAGTGGCATATATATAATAATATAATATATAGTATAATATAATAGCCATTTATATTTATATAGCGATATTTATTATCATATATATATATGACCCGTTTATTTTGAAAGTGACATAAGTCACTTTGTTTTTAACTTGTATTTGTTATCTCAGAATACTGATATTTTTCTCAGTATAAATAATTTCGTATAAACATTAAAAAAATCACCACTTTTCATCACGGTGAAGTGACTTGAGCCACTTTCAAAATAAACAGCTCAATTGTCGACTGCTGTCCTGTCATCTGTACATCGACGACGTTGACACTGTCCATGATGCAAGGTTAACAAAAAATAATGGTACATCGAAGTAGGTTTTTCGGGGTTTTCTTTTACCACATGAGAGCGTGGCAGGAGAATACATAGTGTTACTCTGAAATAAATTTCTTCGAAATTACACGAATACGTTTCCTTCACTCTTTTTTTCTTTCCGAACGAACTTTGGCGTCGGATCGAAACGTTTTATTGCCGGACGAGCAATAGTAGTCATCGTTCTGAAAACAATATCACGGGGAACTTGAAACGCGTATTTCCAGTCAGCCGTTAATCGCGTTCGACGACATAAAAATCCATTTCTCTTTCGAATTTCGCAACAATCGAATTCTTTTTCATCGTTTACACTCCGTGCCTGTGGCATCGTCGTTCTTGCATCGACGTGCAATAGTCTGCGATTTCTTTTTGAAACGATCGACCACGATCTCGACGTTTCACTCGATTTCCGGATTATTTAACACGTTGAATGCCACGCCGGTTTTACAGAAATTGCCCGTGGCGCCGCGATGAATTTTCTTTCTATGTGATACATGTAATGTCGAAATATTATCTGCGATAGATAAGTTACAGTGTGTAACCATGTTTGATATGTTAATTGCGACAGGGGTCACTGTTCGAATCGACGATGGTAATGATACAAAATTTTAGATATTGACATTTGTTTGAAATTATATATATTTCTATCAATTTGGGCGCGCCGGTTACCGGTGGTCCCCATGGCGTCACCGCCAAGTTAACACTATGCCGTCCGATGGCACCACGCTGGTGCCATGCAAAAACTATCCGTTGTATGCCGGTGGTACCACTTTGGTGCCATTTTAAAAAACTGAAATAACGTTTGAACTATATTTCTTGGGTGTTAAAAGGCGGCGAACTAACTATAGCATTGTGCTTATTTAACTAAGAATTAAGTACGAAAATTCTTGGACGACTTATCTTAATTTTAGGAATTTATATTACCGCCATCTTCGAAATTTTGTTAAAATCTAAAATTTCCAAGCTATTATGCCGGCGTCGAACAAAAGAATCGTATCTAAGATCTGCGGACTGCATAGTATTTAAGCGCCGGTCACCGGTGACCCCCGTGGCATTCAACGTGTTAAAATCGTATGCCTCGGAGAATTAAGGATATCGAAGTGAAATCAAGCAGACGCAACCCGCCATTTTAAATCGTCATTCTCGATTCACGTTTCCAAATATGATTTCCTATTTTTGGCGTATTCGATAAGTCGCGTCTAAAAGTATCGCGCACAGAAGGTTTTTTAATTGGAGAACGCTTCGAATAGGACGAGAAACGCGCGAAAGAGTTTTCCTCGATTTAACGTTGCCAAAAGAAGCTTTGCGTTTTTACAGTGTTCGACGATGGATTTTCAATTTACGTATACGATTCTCCACATACCCAGTGTCGCGGGAAAATTCCGACGGAAAAATTAAGCGCCGGTCGCCGGTGACCCCCGTGGCATTCAATGTGTTAATACCTATAGATAATAACGACGATAACGTTAATGCATACAGATACATATGTTCGAGCCGGTGAATCACCTGTTTTCTATCGAATTAGGTACGGCGTTCAAATTTCTCGAATAATTGGTCGTTGTCGCGACATGTAACAAGGTATGCGAAGACTTTGAAACGATGATTTCGAAGTTGCTTAGGTCGGAGAGTAGCTACTATGTGTATGTACCTGCTTACATAGCCGTCGAGAGCGTCGCATCGGACGTTTGTATCGAATTGCACGAATTACGAATAGAAGGTGATCCACAGTGTTGGCAAATCGACGATTGCAACTGCAACTTTCGGAAGCCGCAAGAGCGTCGCGTCATGGTCTGGGTTAGGTCGAGAGTTGAGAGTTGTTAATCACCGTGCGGGTCCGATGCGGTGCGGTGCGGTGCGGTGCGGTGCGGCGCGACGCAACGCGGCATGCATTTGCATCGAGTCGGGCGGGCCAGTTAAAAATCGCCGGTTCCTCTCGAAGCTCGCGATAGCTATCGAATTTTTAACTAGTCGGATAAAATCTTCGGTTCCCGTTCGCGAGGAACGATACCGGTTAAGTAGCAGGTGCAACAACCGAACAACCGTATGTTTCATCGAGACGGTTCTGCCCTCCTTCTCCTACCTCTTCACCTCGAACACCACCACGAACACTACCGTCACCACTACCGCTGGCCCTACCTCTACCTCTACCTCTACCTCTACCTCTACTTCTACCTCTACCTCTACCTCTTCCTCTACCATACCACCACCACACTACTACCACTATCATTACCATTGCCATTACACCACCTCCACCTTTAGCACCGGCTCGGTCTCGTTCGGCGAACAGTTTGTTTTTCTTCCAAAGGGGGAAACGACGCCGTGCACGCGCGCGCGCGCTCGAACCGCGGAACCGGTAGCGGCGCGGCGGCGGTAATCGGTAATCGATGAATTCGATATTCGTATCACCTTCGCTAAACGTGCCTTCACTTTCTACGCCCGATAGTGGAGTTTTATCGTTTTGCCTTATCGAATCTTGTCAAATATTGAAACTCGGATAACATCGTTTCCTTTCGCCAACTAGCGTCTTTTTTTTTTTAGTAAAAATTAATATACAGATTATCCAGTTACTCGTCGGAAACAGCTAACCGATTAACAAGGATACACAATTTAATATTCTTTATGGAGTTATACTATATTTTTGTAGTATAACTCCGTGAAGAATGTTAAAGTCTACTATATAAAAATATAGTATAACTCCATAAAGAGTATTAAAGTGTGTATGGTATAACTGGAGTGTAATATATAGTGTATGGAGTTATACTATATTTTTATAGTATATTTTAGAGTTATATATTAGAGTTATACTATATTTTTATAGTATAACTCCATAAAGAATATTAAAGTGTGTAAAGTTTAACTCCATAAAGAATATTAAAGCGTGTATAGTATAACTCCATAAAGAACATTAAAGTGTGTATCCTTGTCATAAAAATAAAAGTGTTGTATTTAAAGAAACTATGAAGGAAATCAAACCTGTAATACACAGAATAATTACAGTAACATGCACACTTTTCGGATTGCAACAGCTAACTGGTTAAATAGTCTAGCATTTACTCGAACCTTTACGCAAACCGTATCGTACCTTCGCTGTATTACAAGCGAGATCGGATCACAATTCCGACTAAAATGTTGATTGGCTGATTAAACTCGCAGAGAGTGCAACAAATATTGAATACACGATAGAATCGTAATCCGACACTAGTAGTACAGCAGTACCGATGGCAATAGTGATGGTAGTTGCGGCAGTGGTAGCGGTAGCGGCAGCAATGGTAGAGTGTGGTAGTAGCAGTGACAGCAGCTAGACTCATTAAACCGAGGCTTCTCGCGATATAAATAGGACTTCTTGTCCCGTTGCGCTACGGAAGGAGCAAATAGATTATCGCGCTTGCACCGGTCTTTTTGCTCTCTTCTTTCCTTTTCCACTTCTCCCGTTCGACCCTCTGCCTCTGCCTCTGCCTCTGCCTCTGCCTCCCGTTGCTTTCTTTCGCAGCCCGTCACTTT